TTATCCGAGATTAACAATAATTCATTCTCGGCCGAATAGTAGACAAATAGACTCGCTACGCGATCCGTAAAAATATCGTGTCGTATCGGACGGTTCGACTATACTACAGCCAAACTACCCTCATTTTCAATTAATTGAATAGACTTCTTCAAGACGATAGAGTCAACACCACAGAATTTAATCCTCTTCATCTTGGACCAGTACCCAGAGAACCAATAGAAGCCTTTTTCAAAGGTAAGTGATCTGTGCGTACCGCGTTTCAAAATTTTCTCTTGTGTTTTAAATCATACATTCCACTACTTTTCATATTTTCCTTCGCAGCCTATATTTGAAAAAAAATTATTTCCTAAATCCGCAATGATTATCCTGTAAGTAATCTTATCATGATTTTCATCTTTCATGCAAGTTATAATTTCAATTTCGCTTGTTTGCCGTTCATTTGTTGCCTATTTAACTAAGTAGATTATAAACTTTTTTAATGTCATGCAAGTTTTGATTAAATTTATCCTTGAAAGAGTCATTCTTTGTACATGCATAACATACTTTTCTTCTTATCGCATTGTTGTCAAAATCATCTACCAAATCTATTGTCTAGGAAAATTGGCAATTTTCAACAAAAAAAATCCTATACAAATGAATTTTTCAGGGATGATAGGAGGCGGGTGGATGATCATAAAACCGAAGATATCACACATGCACCCTTCTGGCGTTTTGCGCTATAGGGGTTGAAAGTACGCAGTTGGCAATTACTTGGTGCTTATTGATTTTACAAATGAAAGATTTGCAACATTTAAAAAAAGTATTTTTCGGAATATAATGCCGTGGTCGAGTGATATTTTTACCTAACGTTTCTTCCACTGCTATGGTAGACATCTTCAGAGGCGGTATGGTAGAGGACGATGTGTTCTCTTCCGCGTTCCTTCGATGACTGGATTCAACGTTATTGGACCTGCGTTATTTATATCCAGGGTTCTAGGCGTTGCTTGTATTACCCTATTTTCCTTTTCTCGTTCTCGGAACGGAAGGGTCTTTGTTTTTCGGAGAACTAGCAACCAGCTTTTGATAAGGTTCATGCCCTCTTCTTTTCTGTTGAAGTTGTTGTGGTGTTTATGTATCTCTATGACTTCTCTGTAGAGTCTAGTGTAAAACAGTTTGGTCCTATCCAATACTTGAGTCTGGTCGACACCTTGTTTGTTTGTGTTGACACGTGTTCGGCGATTGCTGATCTATCTATTTGTTCCTGCTGACAGTTTCTTTTGTGCTCTTTGACCCTGATGTTGGTAGAGCGTTTGGTTGCTCCTACATAGACAAATCCACAAAAGAAGGGAATTCTATAGACGCTAGCCATATCAAGAGGTGCCCTAGGATCCTTGCCCGATGTTAGACTTTGCTGAATTGTTCTTGTGGGCTTGTAAATGGGCTTAAGGTGTTTTTCCAGCGTTCATCCTATGCGATCTGTGACATTTTTAATGTAGAGAAGAAAGGCTCTCCCTGCCACCTATTCTGGTTCCTTATTATTTGTGCGCTGTTGCTTCAGTCTTATAGTTCTATTTATCTACTGCTTGGAATACCCATTTCCTTCAAGTGCTGATTTCAGGTATTGCGTCTCGTCCTGAAGATATCTGGGTTCACAAATCCAGATTGCCCTGTCAGATAGAGCTTCAATGACTCCTCTCTATTGCCTAGGATGGTGATTGGATTTCTTGTTGAGGTATCTGTTCGTATGCGTCGGCTTCCTATAATATAGGAAGCCTCAAGTAAACTAGGACTCAGAGTATATTATACTCTGAGTCCTAGTTTACCTGAGGGTAATCTTTCTAAGAGGACATCGAGGAATGCAATTTCCTTGTCCTCAACTTCCATCGTAAACTGTATCCTGGGTTCTATTGAGTTTAGATGATTAGGAAAGTTTTCGAGCTCTGCTTGTCCATGGTTCCAAACAACAAAAGTGTCATCTTCATAGGGGAACCAACAAGTAGGTTCCTTTGTGGTCGTTTGCAGTGCCACTTGTTCAAAGTGTTCCATGTAGAAGTTGGCGATAACCGGGCTGAGTGGACTACCCATCTATGTGCTCAAAGAATTCATTTTGCCATTGGAATAAGTACGTAGTCGTCAGACAAATAAAATGTTGATTTCCACCGGAAAAATATCTTTCAGATACTCTAAGGCCACTGGATACTGATGCAAGACTTCCTGTGAGGGGATAACGGGCTGCAAGGCAGAGGTCAATGTGTTGTCTTATGAGGGAGTGAGAAATCACTGTCTTGCACTGGTACTAATGGGAAAAATAGAACACATTGATAACATTTTTAAAAATACAAGACGTTCTAAATGAGAAGAAAGGACTGCAAGTCGGTGATGAAGTTGACTAATTTTGACGGGAGTCACTCCATCAGATACAAAGGGGAATACTACTCCAAATTACAAATTACGCACATTAATTTTAAATATTTTTGCTCTTTACAGCGTAGAATAATTCTATTTTGCAAAATTCTCTAATAATATGTGTTTACGCAATAGTATTTGACATTTAGTAAACTGGACTGCGACTGGATAATCGCGCAAACAAATAGAAATAGAAATGAAAATGATACCATAGGATTGTCGAAACACACAAAAGTTATTACCACTCACCTGGGTTTTCTTATAAGCTGTGCGTATATACGGGGATCCCCTGGAAAACGGTTCTCCACAACCACCAACGTATCACCATCCACTTAAGGCACTTAAGGTCCCTTTTTAACGGCACAAGACATAGACTTTTTGAGCGTAAAACACGGAACCGGTAAAAATGCAACGTGCATATCAAGTATCATTGATCTAGTGTGTAGTGTAAATCCAAATCTTCAACGGTCGGCGCAGGGTGGTAGAAAATACACTCCTGTGTTTTACGCGAAATTGACATTCAAGTAATTCTTTAATAAGAATGAGAAGAAACCAAATTTATAAATAATGTTGCGTTAACAATATGTATATGTATGTCTCTACGGACATCTAATAAAAAAAGATTGAAAATTGTTCTTTTTTTGGCGGCTTATAATAATTTAGGTTTTTTCTGTCGTGGATATCCCATATAACACATAACAGATTGTAAGTATTAAATTTGAAAAATTTGATTTTAAAGCAGCAAAAAAATTACACAACAAATGATCTTTCTAAAATTGTAAACAGAAATTATAATTCCTGCATTCAGCAGACTTCCCTGTTGAGCTGCTATGTCCACTGTCCTTTTTCATCTGTATGATTTAGAAAAGAATAAATAGTGAACGGTTCAGTAAATTACTCAATAGTTCAGTAAAAAAAAAAACGGATTTATGTACTTTTTTCCCCGAAAAAAATGTCTTGCACTAATATATTACTATTTCTTAACATATATTCTTTCGGCGGACATAAGCATGAAGTGGTGTAAAATAATTTTTCACTCCCTCATGAGACAACGCATTGACATCCGTCTTGCAGCCCGTTATTCCTCCTCACGACGTCTTGCTTCAGTATCCAGTGGCTATTCTACATTCAAGTTTTAATCTAAGTCAACAATGGAGTGGTGTGAAATGATATTACCTACCTCTCTGAAAAATTGACAGTTTCTATCTAATATTAGGTACAACCCCAAAACCTCCATGAAAACGTCTTGCATGTGTTAATCCAATTTTGTTTTTGTACAAATTAACTCAATAAATAAATACAAGACGGAATATAATTATATATTTTCCTCGTTTATGACGACATTTTCTGAAACCTTTTTTTTAGCAAAATCCCACACTCCCATATATTTCCCCGCACAAGTGCGGTTCAGCACCATGTTATCGAACTGATGATATAACAATGCAAGACGGTGTGAAATGATTTGATGAAACAAGCCTCGTATCCCGTACTATTAAGGGTAGCTTGAAGTTTTTTTTTATTTTTTTACAAAAAAAAAAATTTAATAAAAGTTTTATAAGAATTTCCTACAATTTTTCCTGACCAACAGCAGGAGGACACACAAAATTTCACTGAGGGAAGGGTTCCCCCCGCTGAATGGGGGTGAGTTACAAAAAAGTTGACAAGGAAAAATTGTAGGAAATGTTATCTTATAAAACTTTTATTGAGAAAATATTTTTTTTTGTAAAAAATTTAAAAAAATTAAACTACCCATATTGAAAAACGGCAGGGGGAGAGTAAAAACTTCATTAAACAAAAATGTTGTATGTAGGTATTGTAGAAATTTTTTTCACGTTGGTTAAAAAAAAATTATTTTCATTATAAATTTCAAACGGCCCTTATGACCGCAGATGGCCCTTAATCAACAAAGTCTTTGGAGAAACATTGTAGATCAAATATTGTTGCACATCTTTTATTTAAAACATTTTTTGTAAAATCAATAGGTATCAAGTAATCGCCAATGGTGCACTTTCAACCCCTATAGCGCAAAACGCCAGAGGGGTGCATGTGTGATATCTTCTGTTTTATGATCACCCACCCGCCCCCTATCATCCCTGAAAATTTCATTTGGGTAGGATTTTTTTTTTTTGCAGTGCATGTATTTTTCGACGATTTTCCTAGACTAATTGTCTTTTTACGATGATTTGTAACATTATCAAAACAAAATCAACAATACCTAATTAAGACCTTTTCAATTATTTAAAATTCAAATAGGTACCTATTTTTTTTTTTTAAATTCAAAAGCAAAGTCTAAATCGGCATAAAATACTCTAAAACTCTCCTAATTTAATTGACTCTCTATTTCTTATAATAACCAAGATTCTAAAAATGGTGAAGATCTAAATTGGGACTGGAACACACTGTATATCTAGCACGATAGTTGATAAGTCACTATCGCGCTAAAGTAACGACACACTACAACAATTATGACTAATCTATGCATTTATAACATTTTATTTAGTCATCAATTCCAGTTGGAAATTATGCTAAAGCCTTACCTCCGATAAGTGGCGCCTTCGCTACACGAGACGGTGAAAAGCTGAACTAAACTGTTAGTGGGGGGGAGTCAGTTGTCCCGAGTCAGCACACTCGAGCGCTTTGCCATTGCATCGCATTGCATTCGCATCTTGGTTGCGACGATGTGTGGTCGGTTCCGCGCGCTCAATAACTTTATTTTCGAGATCGAGACATCGCGAGTACGACGTCTATAGGTCTAGTAAACTTGTGTTTTGAGGAACAGTGACGTGCTTTTTTTTTTGGGTTTCTTTTTCGAGTGAAATTGTTTATTTAAGGGTTGGAAAAAAATTATTATTTTTGATGAAAAACATTTTATGGTGATTTTGTTTAAGACCTGCCTAAAAAAAAGTAAAATTTAATAAGTAATAGATTTTCTTGTTGGATAAGGCATTGGGGTTGCATTTTCATCTCCGGGAATTAAGGGATAAAGTTTCGAGGGCGAAAAAAAAAAAATAAAAAATAAAAACGCATTCAGCAGCGTGTAGAATCGAATCAGCTGTAAATCTCGCGCATGGCTCTTACCCCCCTCCATAGTCGAGTGGTAGGGATAGGGAACAGCTGTGAATAAGATACACACTCAAAACCTCGAGCTCAGAGTTGTCAGATTCGTCAACGAAAACGGTTCGGTTCGAGAGATTAGTATGCTAAGTATAGTCAAGTGCTAGTCCATATATCGGCACTTGAGGACTTAGACAAATTTTTCCGAATTTTCAAAATTTCTTCCCCAAAAGAAAAAAAAAACTTTTTGTGCGCGAGTGGGTGCATTTGGTAATTAATCCCAAACAATAAAATTTCTGATTTTCTTTTTTGGAATATTATGGTACCTCAGCAAATGGAAGGTTCCAGATCCGAAAGCCCTAGCTCCAGTGGGGTTGCACCCCTTTTTGGTTCGCAACTTGTCGATAAAAATTCTTCAACACCTTATTCTGATGCTACCCAGGTAGGTGTTTGTTTTTTTTAAGAAATTTTTGCTCACAGTGTGATAGTGTTTTCAAAAATAAAAAAAGTGCAGTGGCCTCGAAACTCGATTTGGATTACTTATATTTTGGATTTTGGATTAAATTTAAAATTGTTGAAAGGTAAATTGTTTTCAAATGTTATTTTGGATCGTGACTTAGTTAGACCACCAGTCGCAGACTTTAGATTGGGGAAAATTGCACTTGAATTTCAACAACTGTTCAACTACTACCTAAACTGGCTAAAAATTAAATTTATTCTTTTGGTTATCCTGATGCATTTAAAAAAGTCTCGAAAAAATAGTTAGTATTCTCAGAATTGAAAGAATATCCTGGAAAAGTGGGTCTCCAAAAAATACCTAGACATTTAATTTTTTGAAAATACATTTAAGTAAACTTTGCTGTTGCTCTATGCCTAAGTTAATATTTATAGATGTGAAAACCACATCAACTAAGTATTTCTGGATGAATTCTCATTTTGGTTGTAGGTTTATTCATTCATATTTATTTATATATTTTTTTTTTCAAATTTAAAATGTAGATTTTTTGATGATATGCGAAAAAGCAACTCACAGTTTCAAGTCTACTTCATTTTAAGTTGCCATTATTATTGATACCTACCTAATTTTGAATTTAATGAATACTTATTGTCTTTTTCAATAAATTTGGGTGTTAGAAATGGTACAAAATGAAAAAATATTTTCTCACTTGATAAAAAATTCTTAATCTTCAGGCACAGTCGACACATAGTATAACTACTGTTAGCGGAAATCTACTTTGATTTCACATACTTAAAACTCGACAAATACACTTATAAATGGGTAGATTAAGTCTTTTACCTCCTGCTTATATCAATCAAGTAGGTACCTACCTAAAAATCGAGACAAAAATATTTTTAACTAGTACTAGCTTTAAAAATTTTCCTGCAGAAAAAACACACCATATAGGTACTTTAGCTATACATTATAACCAAGTATATAAATATCTAGATAATTATTAATTAAACACTTACCTGAGTACATATATAATTTTCCAAAGCTTAAAATAATAGATTGAGAACATCATCCTAATATCCAACAGAGTTTGATATAAATTATTCATCTTGTTTTTCCTCTGTAATTAAATAGATTATAAACGTAATAGCGAGCGTAATAGACTCGATAATTAACAGTATGGCAGTAGGTAATAATAATTATATCCTGTAAGTAGATACTTAATTTTTCATTTGATTTCATTGTAGGTAGATTTATTTTCAAATCACTAATTCTTCTGATGTATAAAGCCCTAACATGTCAAGTTCAATACTTCAAAGTTTTCATAAAAAGTATATCTTGCCAATATTTTTATCTCGATTTTTATACCAAAAAACTTTTGGAATCACATCCCATTACCTCGCCTATTACAACCAGGAAAAGTTACCGAAATTTCAAACTTTCAATTCAAACGACTTTGAACATCATTCAAGCACACAATTTCTAAATTAAAACAGGTGTCCAAACTATCTATATTTAGAGGGTAAAAATAGTGTTGGAACTGGTCGTAAGCCTGTAAATTCTGGCTACATAATTATGTAGACGAGAGTAGGTACTTTTATTATTTATGTTACATAAAAACATTGTAATAATCCTATCATAAAAACAAACATTTGAAATGAATAGGATTAAATAGATAGAAGTACCTACATCATGTGCAAGACAAATTTATTATTGACCCTATAAAAATAAATGTTCATTCAAAATAAGCTACTTACCTCGAGACTTACCTATTCTTACTTAATTTTATTGGGGAGAAATTCAATTTGCATTATTTTTTTTTTTTTCTAGTTTCACTATAGCTGTAGCGAGAGCTTTAGGTACCACCTACGCTTAGCGACTTATATCTAATAATTGTGTTATTTTTGATTTGCCAAATTATCGAAAATTAGGTACTTAGATATAGGTAGGTACAGACTGAGTTTTAGAATCAAAATTAATTTTTCCTTGATGTTCTGTTTCAAAAATAAATATAGCTGGATTACTTAGCAAGAAAAATACTGAGAAAAATACACATCTGAAAAGATTAAAATGCAAAAGGGGAATGACCTCGAACCAAATTTAATGTATAATTTTCAGGGTAAAAACTATTACAATAATTCGGTGAATCTTTTTGGTAAAATTGTGGTTTTGCTGGTGAAAAATTTGATTAAATAAACAGTTCAGTGATAAATCGGGAATTGTTGGAAAATGTGTCATCGCTATTGAATAGCTTAGTAATTTAACCACCTCCTTAGTTGCAACTTTTTTCATATATCACTTAAGTATATTTGGAACTTTTTTCTAAAACTACAAAATTACTTACTTTACATAAGAATATTTTCAGTACAGTGAAGTTATTTTGTCAAGCAATATGTCAGATAATCGTATTCTGCAAGACCCAAAGTTGCAGAAAACATTAAAATTTGTTTAGGACTTAAAACCTCAAAAAACAAGTTGCAAAAACGCTGTGAAAAACTCAAAAATAATTTTTTGCTGCACCTAGCCCTGGCGCTTTTTCCTGAGATAATCGAAGTTGAAGGTCTTTCAAAATTTAAGACAAAGTTTCAACTTTGGTTCCTCATAATCTTGAAGGCTACTCAAGATATATGATGTAGAGTATTCAATTCTGACGAAATTTTTATGAGAGATAGTAGAGATAGGTACAGTGGGAATCATTGCAATTGGCACAAACTATATAAATATCCCTCGTAATGTGTCAAATCTGACACACCAGTAATAGCAAAATGCTGCACTAAATAGATTTATTAGTTAGAATTTTGACTCAATACGAGGGATTTTAAAGAGTGTGTGCCAATTGCAATGATTCCCACTGTACTAACAAGGGTACTCATCTAGTGTAGTAGCGCAAAAATATTCAATTTTAGAATTACATACTATATGTTGATATGTGGGAAAGACCGCGGGAAGGCAAGCAAAACCTCAATTAAAATTTTATGTAGGTAACCAAATTGTAAATTTCGATTAGGGCTACAAACAAGAGTATTTGGTGCACCCAAATCTGACGCTTTCCGTCCAAGATAATGGAGTTTGAAGTTTCAGACAAAGTTTCCAATTTGAGACCATTGTTGCGAAGCTATGTTAAATACTTATTCAAAAATTTCCAACAGCAAAGACTGCGGTAATCTTTGTAAATTTCAAAATCTCAAAAAGATTGTGAAAATGCTTCCACACTCAATTTGGCCTTGTTTTTTTGATTGATAAAGTAAAAAAATATATATATGTTATTTTCGACACAATCTCATCTTCACATCATATCCTTACCGGGATCGAGACTAGGAGACTAGGACTTTATTTGGAATTTAAAAGGTATGGAGTTATAGGAATTTTTAAAGATATTAGTAGCAATCTGAAAAATGGGGCACAAAATATACAAAAATTGAAATTGCATGCTCTTATCAAAATACTCTGGTACCTACTTTTAGTAAACCTCGATCTCGAGCTATTTGAAACTTAATCTTTCATATCTATAAGAAATTATTCAATAGAAAGCTAAGAGCTCTCCAGTTTCAATAATTCTTCTGTAGGTTGTATAGTACCTATAATTATTAAATTATATATGGCAAGATTCACATTATTATGCAACCTAAAGCAAAAAATACCTCATTACAAGCTTCTTGATTACCTAACCATGCAATATTTAATAACAATATCAAGTAGAGTACCAAATTAACATAAAATTATAACATCAATAGAGCCGCGAATATTTCCATGAATACTAAAAACGTTTTGTGTGTACTTGATAATTGAATACCAAACTGAATTATGTATTTAATATGCATTAGTCATCCAATTGTTATGCAGAGATCATGACCCAGTTTTAATTAGTATTTTTTCGCAAATAGGTCAGTTAACAATGTCTGGTTTAGGTGGAGGGTTGAACTCACTTGAATTAAATATAGTAGCGTATATGTATATGATTTTTTAATAATGTGTTCTTGCGTTTTTGAACCATTGCAATTAAAAACATAATATATTTCCTATTCAGAATGTTCAATTCAGGTTATAGACTAATTTGAAAAAAAAAATTGAATTACATGTTTTTGGGGCGCTGAATACGAATCTGAAGTTTGCTGCCTCGTAGCAGTACCGGCTCAGGTCGAAAAACGCGTAAAACCTTGAAATTTTCGGACTTTTTCCGGTTTTCTGGTAATATCTTGCAAACGACGCATCGCGCGAAAAATGTAACGGAATTCAAAGTTGAAAAGCATAAAATTCTGCGTCGAATAACCTCCCTAAACTTGTTCCTGCTAAATTTATAAGCTCGTCATCGTCAGTAGAAAAAAGCCAATTTTAATGAACTTTTGTGAAAACTGCAATAAACTTACTATTTTTCCTACAATATTTCTATATTGTATAATATATTCTCTCATCTTGTTAATCTAAATGTAATAAATCATTAATTTTTTTTTTGTGTAAATGGGTACTGATTGTTGGAGCTGCGAGCTCTCAGGATTCAGCTAGGCCTTCAATTTTCTACTATCTAACGTTAGGTCTTCACGTTCATAGGGGAGGTTTAGAAAGGGGGTAAGGGAGTTACTCTTGACTAAAGCCTTGTATATTATTGAAGATTTCTTTGGAGACACTTTGTAAACATATTTTTTTTTACCTCAGGTAAAATTTTTAATTGTTCTGATAGATATTAAGTTTGAATATTTTATAATTTAAGTTGATATGCTTTGTCAATGGAATTTTTTTTTCTGGACAGTACTTTTTAATTTGATTGATTTGATTTGATTACTTCCTATTACATCTACATACATAATACTTATAAATCCTAAAGTCAGATTTACAGAAAATGGAGGAAAAAGTAATTTAGGGTTGACAAGTGGGGTTTGAGAAATATTGACAGGCACAGACATTTTATTATTGGACCCCTTCATTTTGCCAAATAAGCGTTAAGAGGAAAAATGAAGAAATGATCATTATATGTGTATACATATATTGGTCCA